TGCAGCACTTGCAGGAAGATTAATCAGAATTCTCAGGATCAAATTAACTTTTGATCTGAGTAATGTCCATTATAATAAGGACATGCCAAAACCCTCACTGATGAGGATAAGATTAAGAAAGGGATGTAGAACGTCTCTGTGAAAAACTGTGAGAGGAACAGGATCAAAAGGAGGAATTGTGTTATTTGCAAAGCAAAAGAAAGACATTTCCTCAAAGAAACTGCAATAATTTAGTAGATAAAAGTGCTATTACAAGATTCTTTTATCTGCAACAGCACTTTGCCATCACTCTTCCTTTTAACCCTTCAAATTGTTAGTCAAGGGATGCAGTAATTCTGAGATATCTCCATTTACATGTCCCAATTAAAACTTTACATGCTCTTCAAAATACATTTTTTCTTATTCATATTCATCAAGATGAAATCATTAAAACTTCAGAACTGACTGCCCCAAATTCTTTACACATGTAACCATCTTAAAGCATCTCTAGGTTATAGAAATTTTTTGGAAAGGCATCTTTGTAGCAGAAATCAGAGTGCTCTTTGAAGAACAATTACTGCTGCTCCTTTAACATCTACCTCTCCTCACCAAGGGAATTAAAAGAGCTCCACAATGTTTTATCAGGAAGAGCAGGACTGGGTGTTGAGCTGCTTCATTAGCTCTGAAAGGCTGCTCTAGGTCAGGCTTTGGGTGGAATCCCACCTGAAGCAGGAGAGCAAAGGGTTGTGGAGTCCTCAGCCAGGGAGAAGCCAAGGATTCCTGCCCTGGAGCTGCCCCAAAGGCTCCTCACCCCAACCCACCCCCCTGCAGGGATCCCTGACCCCACTGCAGCTCAGCTCTGTGAGTTCTGCCTGCCAGCCTGCTCCTGGGGGCTCTGCAGCCCACAAAATGGGAAAAGCCTTCGTAGTCAGAGGCTTAAATTGACTTTACAGGGGTTGGGGATGATTTACACATCTGCCCCAAAACAGCAGCATCACTGCTCAGTGCCATGCCCAGGTTTGGACAAAAAAAGCAGCTTGGGGGTTTGTCTGTACTCCGGAGCAGCTGAGCCCTGGGGTCTTGTTTTACAAAGACAGAAGCACTGAATGAAAAGAGGATTTGCACCCAGATGACTGCCTGGCACAGACAGCAAACGCAGGCAGAGCTCAGCCCAGGCTGAGGAGGAGCACCCAGCCCCTGCTGATCCACTCACTGAAGTTGTGTGCAACTTTTCTGTCCAGCAGGATGTGCTGATTCACGGGAGGCTCGCTGCCCAGAAGCACTGCTGTGTCCTGGATCTGGAACTGCTCACACAGCCTGCACACATCTATTTTCCTCTTGCATGGGTCACACGATCCCCAGACAGATTTTTGAATCTAAAAATACAGGAGGGACAGAGGGTAAACAAAAAGCCAGAATAACAGAGGCCCTTTGTTCCAGGCAAACACAGAGAGGAGCATCCAGGTCATTTTGTGGCACGGCTGGATTCCTGTAACTGCCCACATCACATGGGCTGCAATATTTAGGTTTTTCCCCTTTAACGGCTGCCCTCGGTTTCATCCTCACCTTGTCACAAGGAACGACATCCCAGTGAAAGGCTTTGGTCCTCTTTGCTGCTGGAGGGGCACTGCAGGGCTGTGGGAGGGCAGGTGGGGCTGGTGGCACCTCGGCCCTGCCCAGGGCAGGTGGCAGAGCTGGGGCCGCCTGCCCCTCTGCAGGCTCTGCCAGGGCAGCTGCAGGTTTGCTCAGGCTGCTCCTTGCAGAATTCCCACCAAAGCTGGGCGTCTCCTCTCTCTGCTCATCCACAGGCACAATGAATTCCTCATAGTCAGCTTCGGGGGAGCTGCACCCCTGGGAGCCCCCCGGGGTGGCAGCGCTGCCAGGCTGGCAGTGCCGCTCCAGCAGGGCCAGCCAGTCCCTCTGCAGCCTGGCAGCAGCCTCTGGCCTGCTGCTCTGCACACTCAGGGGTATCCGCAGCCTGCAACGGAGAAATGGCACCCAGACACAGCAGCAGGAGTGAACAGCACCCTGCCCAGCCAGCTCCTGCACCCGCCAGAGCAGCCCAGGGCTGCTGGCTCTGCCCTTCTCAGGGTTCTCTGCTCTCCAGAGCTGAGGTGTGGCCATGCAGGGGCTGTGCTGTGACCCCTCCATCCCTCCTCTCCCCCTCGGGAAGCAGCAGTGTGTTACAGGCCCTCAGAACCTGCCCACGTCCATCCCTGCACGAGCCTTCTCCTGTCCCACCAGCTGCTCTGGGCAGGATTGCCACGGACCAGCTCAGTTCCACTTTGGATTCCTCCTGAGAATGCTCCCCAGAGCTCTGCACAGCAATGGGAGGGGTAATCTTGTGATTGTGGTGGCCTCATTCCTCCAGGAATGTTGTTTTACTCTGGGCCATCCTCTGCTGCCTGAGCCTGTTTGCAGCACTCAGAATTTGGAACCTACTGGCATTTTG